CACAAAACCTCCCTTCTCTCTCCTCTCTTTCTCTCTTCAGCTCCTTCATACATTCATCCTCTCCCCTGGAGAGAGAGAGCCATGGAAGAAGATGACGACAAACTCCACACCACCACCACCATGGTGGTTATCGCTGTCGTCTTCTTCCTCTTTCTCTCCACTCTTTCCCTTGCCACCGCTGACGACGCAACCATAATGAAGAAACTATCAAGCTCCTTAGACCAAACCCCTCCTAACTGGTTAGGCGAAAACCCATGCAAATGGCAAGGTGTAAGTTGTGATTCCTCCAATCGTGTCACTTCCATTAGCCTCGCCTCCAGGTCCATATCCGGTACCATACACTCAAAAATCAACCAACTCTCTAGCCTACAATCTCTTTCTCTCCAAAATAACCAACTTACAGGCACCATCCCGCCCCTCGCCAACATGACACAACTCTTTCTCATCCTCTATCCTTTCTCCCAACTTTCTTGTCGGCCTACAAAACCTCCAAACATTAAGTATCAATGACAACCCTTTACGTAGCTGGAGCCTCCCCAATGGGCTATCTGAGTCGTCCTCTTTGCAAGAGTGTCGCGCCTCTAATACAAACTTGGTTGGATCCATTCCTGACATTTTTGGGGCCTTCCCTAGCTTAAAAGACCTAAGACTCTCCTACAACAACCTCACCGGTTCCTTGCCTGACTCTTTCGCGGGGTCAGGCATTCAATATGTATGGATAAACAACCAAAAACAAGGACACTCAGGAGTCCTTGACGTGTTAGGAAAAATGCCTAGTTTAGCACAATTATGGGTTCAACAAAATGCCTTCTTTGGTCCAATACCCGACCTTTCGAATTGCACCTCATTGTTTGATCTTCAACTAAGGGATAACCAATTGACCGGAGTGGTTCCACCTTCTTTGAGCAAACTGCCTCATTTGGTAAACATTTCTATGCAAAACAATAAGCTTCAAGGTCCAATGTCAGCTTTCGCGAGAGGTGTTCAAGTCTCCCTAGGGTTCACTAATACTTTTGTAAGGATACACCAGGCCCTTGTGATCCTCAAGTCACTACGTTGCTTGATATTGTAGGTTCCTTGGGTTACCCTAGCGATTTAGCCGATTCATGGAAAGGAAATGATGCTTGTAATAGGGCGTGCCCTAATTCCTCTTCTTGAGAAACAGGGAGCGTTTCTCTAATGGCATTTAAGAAATTATAAAGCATTGGGAATTGTAAAGTAATAATATTATAATGAAAGGAAGTGTTGACTGTAACATTCACTCAAACTGCTGATGTGGACCGGTTTAGAAGGTGTGAAATGATGAATTTACTGCTGTTAACGTCGTTCTTTAACATCCATCCAATTTATTGTTACAACCAAAGTTACTCCATCAAACAGGTGCGAATTGCCATTTTTTCCGTCATCATTTTGCTCGCAAACCACCATCACCTTCGTTGCCCCTATCTTCTTCACTCACATTCGCCTTTCCGGCGGCTTTGCCACCGAATCAAAACGAAATACCCTAAAAAAATTGGAAAAATTATGGCATGGCTAACCCTTAAGGGCAAGGTTTGTCTTCCTCTTCCATTGAGGTTGTTCGTGCGTTCCAATTTCTGTATTGGAGGTTTTGATTTCCTTTAATGGAGGTGAGAGAATGGAGGAAGAAGAACATGGACGTTGGTGGCGCAGACGATTTTGTCTTGCATTGATGGTGAGGTGGATAGAGAAAAGGGCGGAGAATCCAGGAAGGAAAGAGAATTTGTTGGTGGTGGTATTTCCATGGAGGAAAGGGGTGCTGGGTTAGGATGAGGAGAGAGAAAGTGAGGATGTTCGGAGTAATTCCGTGAAGTGAATACCTTACCCCAATTCAGCGTCTGTTAACCCCGTTACCCAACTTGACTATGTGATAATTGACAGATATACCGAATGACCAATGTACCCCCAATTTCCAACGTAAAAAATACAAATTTAGCCCCTTAAGATACATTCCATGTTTATCAAGAAGAGAAACTTGGAATTACCCCTTGTAATAACTGGGCTCATGTGACTTGTGATTCTAAAGGAATGTTGTGGTGGTGAACTTTGCTAAGCAGAATTGGGGTGGATTTATTTCGCCGTCGTTTGCTAATCTAACTTCACTTACTTCCATCATTTTGAATGGTAATGACCTTGTTGGAACAATACCAAGTGTTTTAACAAACCTTAAAATGTTGCAAAGATTTGATGTTTCTAACAATAGCTTAACAGGAAAGGTACCTAATGGGAATCCTTTCTTAGGGACAAGTGTTGATACTACTAAATCTTTAAAGTCACCTCCTGATATGACTAACTCTCCTTCCGGAACAAATGGTAGTCCTTCACATTCGTTGAAATCGCGTCTTTCTTCCTATGAGATCGCGGGGATTGTTATTGCTGCTTTAGTTCTTATACTAGCTGCAGGAGTTCTCTTGCACCCGCGTTTCAAGAGGTTGTTGTTTATGAAGGTGTACGGCTCAAAGAAGTAAAACTTTTACAAGGAGAAGAAGAGTAAGGCGAAAGATTTGAAGACGAGCCCAAATGGAAAATATTCTAAAGGAAATCCAATTGATAAAAGTGGTGTGCTAAGTAACGGGCAAATTTTGTTTGACCATGGTGATAACATCCCAATTGAAGTCCTTCGTGAGGTGACCGATAATTTCAGTGATAGCAACATTCTAGGCCGAGGAGGGTTTGGGATAGTTTACAAGGGAGTTCTTCAAGATGGGACTGGAATCGCGGTTAAGAGGATGGAATCTAACCTCCAAGGCTCTAAAGGGAAGAGCGAGTTTGAGGCAGAAATTACGGTTCTAACTAAGGTGAGACATAGGCATTTGGTGGCACTCTTAGGATATTGTGTCAATGGGAATGAAAGGATTGCGGTTTATGAGTATATGCCTCAAGGAACATTGGGACATCATCTTTTCGAGTATGATCAAGCAGGGCAATCCCCTCTCACGTGGAAACAAAGACTTGTGATCGCTTTGGATGTTGCTAGAGGTGTTGAATACCTTCATAGCTTGGCTCAACAAAGCTTTATTCATAGGGATTTAAAACCGTCGAATGTACTCCTTGGGGATAACATGAGAGCCAAAGTTTCGGACTTTGGATTGGTGAAATCTGCTTCCGATCAAGGAAAATACTCGTTGGAAACACGTTTAGCAGGAACCTTTGGTTACCTTGCACCCAAATATGCAGGTAAGTAAGCTCATAAACCATATCCCCTCCCTCCCATTTAATTTGTTAGTTTGAGATGATCTATTTTCATCTTAGGATGTACCATTTTTGACTTTGATTACTTGATTAGTGTTGTGTAATTAGTTTCTCTAGTATGGTCTTTCACATTGTGTAATTAGTGTTGTGTACCATTTTTTAAAAACTAATGTCTATCAAAATCATTAGGATTGGAGTTTTAATTCCACTCTTAACATAAATGAATGGAAAAAAAAACGAAAAACATGAAGTTTTAATATGAATCTTTCTTCCATTTGGGCTTCAATTTTTATTTCCAATGTCTTTAATCTGTCATGGCTTCCTATGTATTCTGCCATATAACTCTCCATTTTGCAACTGTCCCATTTTTTAATAAATAATAACTTTTTACTTAGTTTTTCAACGAAATGTTCCCTTTGTTTAACTATACAACATTTCAATGCAGCAACCAGAACAGTAACAACCAAAGTCGATGTGTTTGCATTCGGAGTAGTGTTGATGGAGCTAATAAGAAAAGCCTTAGACGAAAGCCTACCAGAATAACAAGCACAATTATCAACCTGGTTCAGAAGAGTCCTCATTACCAAAGAAGGCATCAGAAAAGCCATAGACCCCAAACTTGAAACAGATGATGAAGAAATTTTCGAAAGCATTTGCAAGGTGGCTGAGCTATCAGGGCACTGCACGACTAGGGAGCCACAACAACGGCCTGACATGAGTCACGCAGTTAATGTTCTGTCGCCTCTGGTTGAGTAGTGGAGGCTTGCAGAGTCGGAAGGTGACTATGATTATGTTAGGATAAATATCAATGAGTCTTCCTCAAGCTCTTCAGCGATGGCAAGCTGGCGAGACAACGACTATGAGTGGTTATAGTAGTGTAAACTATCATTCTAGTGCTCCTACTACACCACCAATGGAGGAAAGCTTTACTTACATTGTAGGTCAATGATGAAAGATTCTACTGATTTATGTGATGTTGTTATGCACTTGTATATATCAGTGGTAAGCCCTTGGAAATGGTAGAGGTTGGTGAAGAGTGATGTCCTCATCTCATTGATGAGCCACTATTGTCGAATTTCAGCCTCTTGAGGGCATTTTTTATGCTTCAGATGTACATAGAGGTGTTATGAAAACATCGAATTGAAGATAAGGAGTAATGTGTTTCAAAGGAAAACATTTGAGATTGGCTCTTTTGCCCATCTAACCCGTCTTTAAGATGGGTTTGGGTATCACTATTTGAGGTTATCGCTTAGTTAGGAGTCATGTGGTGACAAATCTCTCTTTTATTCTTGGTTTACAAGGGGTCTTCCTCTATAAGTACTCAATTAAATTTAGTACTTTATATCATATCAGAAAAAGGTAAAAAAAAAAAAAAAAAAAAAAAAAAGGCGATTTTTTCTTAGGACATGATTGTGACTTCGTATGATTTGGAGTCTTCTTGATTCCAATAGGCAATTTATGTATGCAAGTGTTTGGGTTTTTAGTTCAAGATTATTGTCACTAGTATTGGTTCTCTTTAATTTAAAAACTAGCAATCGCTGAGTAATACTACATATCAAGTACGGAGTATTGATTTTCAAAGGACTAACAAAACTGAATGGCCAAAACAGATTAAATCTGGCTCAATAATTTTGGGGTAAGCAACATATAGTAAAACTAGTAAGTTTACCTGTGTATATATAAAATATATATATATATATATATATATATATATATATATATATATATATATATATATAAAAAAAAAATCAATAAATTTAGGTCTGAGATATCACAATAAAGTTCGGATTCAAATTGTATAAATAGGATTTCTTATTCCTCAAATAAGATTGGATTGTTTTTCTTTGATCAGATCTAGTTCGGATAGAACTTGAATGAACTACATAATATAAGTAAAACTAACCCCCAACTAATTAAATAGCCAACTCAATACAATGCTGTAGCAATTAAGTGGTGATATGGTCTACATTCTAACTCATTCCTGAATAGACAGTTCTCAAACTCTTCAAATCTTCGTTTTTCCAGGAATTAGTTTCCTCTTCAACGACAAGATTTGCCTATAAAATACTTTTACGAAGTATGAACCAGTAATATTCTACTTTTAGACGCCAGATCCTCCAAAGCAGAAGGTATCATCCTAATCTGATCTCTTTCATTAATCAATACTCTATAGTCTGTAGTTGTATTCTAGAGACTAATGTTTATTTTTCTCCCCTCTGTTACTTGCAGTAGCTTACGAAGTATGAACCAGTAATATGCCCGGTAAGCTTAATTAGCAGCCTCCTACAATTCTGGAATAGCACTAGGAGCAACCCGATTGTTGCATTTGACACAGAATGGGGTTGCAACATGATACCAGAGAGCCAAACTCAAACAAAGCCCGTACAAAGTTGCTTAAGCTGTACAAATAAAAAACACTTGTCTCACAATAAACCTCTCTGCTCTCTCTGTAACCCCTCAACTCCTTGTAAAATTTCTCGCAGTAAAAGTTACTTGTATGTTTGTGGAGATCAGAACTGAAATTGAACTCACAACGAAATGATTGCTGGGATGAATTTGCTAAGAAACAGAAACTTAAGTTCTACTTGTATGAAGTATGGAAGGATTTTAAAACATGCAGGCCTTGCAAGAAGAAGGGGACATACCTCTTGGTGGCATTCACCTTTTGTAAGCAGTGTTGCTGGCAAGAACAATGAGACCACTTTGGATTTCAATTATCTTGCAGTCCCAGTTTATGCTACCCTTCAGATTGGAGTTGAGTTGCTCGCTTAAGAATAGTAACATTTCAGACGACCAAACATTATAGTACTGTACTGTTTACACATTTCTGCAAAAAAATTTACAAGTAGTCCTGTTCAAATTTCCATGCTTCTGGTTATAGATACTCATACTTCTATCTAGTAAATTATCTGCTGCATCACAAATGAAGTACTTGCCAATTGTTAATTAAAAATTAAAACAATAAGGGGTACAAACAAAAATCACTTGGATATCAATACATTTAGTAACATCAAACCTGAACAATGATAATGTGTTCAATATTAAATTAAGAAAATCACTTTTGGTGATGAAGATTATATGAAAATAATCCAGATAATACAAATTAAGGTTCTAACAGTAAAGAGCACTTACAGAAGATGCTATTTATAACATACAAATACTTTGAAGCCCAAAGCATAGCTAGAAGTAACTATCTTTTCCATACATCGAGAGCTTACAAGAAGCCGTAATTGAGGGCTTGCTCTAGAGTGCCATGTCTGTATAACAATTGTATGATTCCAATCCATGGACAATGCACTGAAGACTGTGACAAGTAGGTCACTTAGACGGCTACAAACTAATCCAAGATACCAACATAATAATGATAATATATCCATCTATGGCTCACTGAACCAAGAGAGACTTCCATTTGCATTTACAAAGCTTGCAGGCAATTTCTGTGACCTGTGATATGACTGATATCTCATATTCTGTAACCATAAAGAAGGCTCCAAAAGCTTCCTGTATGAGTCCAATTTCTCAGCTAAAAGAAGGCAGGAAGCCGGAAACAGGTTGCTCACGCAATTGGATTTAAGACTCAACATTCCAGACCATCATAGCCCCTTCTACAACTCCAAACTTTGCATATGGCCAATCATAGAATTGTTTCCATCGTCCTGACATGACATCCAAATGATCCGAAATTATGTGACAATTTCCATTAATACCATGATAATTCTTAATTGAATAGCACAAACACAGAACACAAGAACCAAGCACAAACACCATCCCCTACTACCGATCCACAAAATGCAAGGAATCCACCAACTCATTATAAGTCCTCTCCCCCATTGCAACATCCTTTTTCCTAAACTCCTCAAGAAGCTCTAAAGCCTCAATTCCCTTCCCATCCCTACACATCTCCTCCAACAATGTCCTATACGTCAACAAATCCGGTTTCAAAGAATTCCCCAACATATCACGCAAAACCTCAACCGCGTCCTCAAACTTCCTCTCCAATGCCAAACTACACACCAACACCATATACGCCCCACTCGAGGGCACCAACCCTTTCTCCCTCATCTCCTTAAAAAACCCAAACCCCTGCCACACCCTCCCCTTCTCACAACACCCCTTAAACAAATAACCATAACTAAACGCATTGGGCTCACACCCATACAACCCCATCTCCCGAAACACTCGTACCGCCTCGTCAACCTGCAAACACTTAGCATACGCCTTAATAATCATATTCAACACATACGTATCCGGCACCACACCAAGCGCCTTCATCTGCTTATTCAAAGACCTCACAGCATTCAAATAAACATAACTAACATTCAACTTATTAAACTTCTTAAGCAAAACATTAAACAACATAGCATAAGTCTCCAAATTCGGCTTACAATCAATACTATCTTCCTTCATCATCTTCTTATAAACATCAAAAGCACGATTAAACAAACAACGATGAGAGCAACAGAATCGAATCAAGGAATTGTAAAGGGGTAAACTAACAGGGCAAGCACCGGCGAGGACTTCCTCGAGGAGGGCTTCGGCGTGGCGGTGGCGGCGGCCGGCGACGGCGAGGTGGATCATGGTGAGGTAAGTGGAGGAGTCGTGGGTGTAGCCGCGTTGGTGGGAGGTCCAGCGGAAGATGTCGAAGGCTAAATCGGGGTCGGATTGGGAGTTTAAGGCGTGGTTAACGTCGGAAGGGGTGAACCCGGGTTTGAGGAAGTTGACCCATGTTTGGAATTGTTTTTCTGAGGGGGTTTGGGATTTGGGGAAGTGGGGTGGTGGGGTTGTGGAGAGATGGTGGTAGTGCAGGGGAGGAGAGAGAAAATGGCGGAGGTTGGTGGTGATGGTGCGGCGGAGGATGGTGGTTGTCATGGTGGTGGAGGGAGAGAGAATGAGCAGAAAATGAGGAATGAGTGATATGAAGGATGTAGGAATGGGCCGAGTAGATTTGGAATGGAGTTTGGGCTTGGATACTTTTGGACGAGTCATATTGGCTCCTTGTTCTACGATAATTCTTAGTTGCACTACGCCCTGTAAAATGAACATTTAATTTAATAAAAAAAATATGAAAACGTAATAAAAATGAACATTAAGTAATAAGAAAATAAACACATAAAAAAAATGAACATTTAGTACTAAAATGTGAACATAATGTTATAAAAATGATTATTTAGTATTTTAAAAATGAACATGATTATCATATAATTATAAAATTGTTGGACCACGACTTAAAGAATGAACTTTTAGCCAAAAAAAAAATAAAAAATAAAAAATAAAAAATTATGAACACGTTAAAACAATAAAATGAACAATTAGTAATAAAAGATGAACATTTAGTAATAAAAAGTGAACATGTCCAAAAAAAAATATGAACAAATTAGTATAATAAAAATGAACATTTATCATACGATAAAATATATGAACACATTAAATAAATTGAAGCTTTAGTATATAAATATAAACATGTCAAAAAATGAACATGTCAAAAAAAATTACTTATATGAATAAATTTGAACACATTTATATTTATATTCATCTTTCGTCATGTTTATTCAATTTGAACACGTCATTTATTCAATACACGTAAATTACTTGTATGAATAAATTTGAGCACGTCATTTATTGAATAAAATGAATATAAATATAAAATGAAAAAAAATACTTGTATGAATAAATTTAAACACGTCATTTATTCAATACACGTAATAAGAGGTAATTATTTATATATACAATACAAGTAATAAGAGGTAATTATTTTTCGTTAATAATTATATACAATAAAGATAAAATAGATCATTAAAATATGTTTATATTTTATGTACTAAATATTCATTTTTAGTGTACTAAATAATAATTTTGTACAAAATGTTCAATTTTAAAATGCTACGTGTTCATTTTTTTGTACAGAAATAATACACAAGTTCAATTGTAATTATTTTAACTCTAAAAATTTGAAAATTTACTTTAAATCTAATTTTGTTTCATCATAGAGACAATAATTATCGATTTATAACATGATAGATTAGAACTATAAATGCAAAATAGATCAAAATGAACAATTTTGTAATATTCACATTAAAAAAAATGTCAAAATTACTTGAAGATTCATGATCGCAATGATGACGATGTAGCAACAATGGTGACGAATTGGAGAATATTCAAAGTAGATGGAGAAAGAAGTTTAAAGATTGAAGGAAAGTGAGGTAAGAAAGAAAAGGACAAAAAAGAGGAGAAAGATAATTTTGAATGGAAAAGAAAACAGACGAAAGAGAAAATTGATGGAGGTAAGAAAGAAGAAGAGAGAGAGAGTTAAATATAAGGAAGAGAAAGAAAAAAAAAAAAACGTATGTTCATATATATTGCTGTTGCACCTAGCTTAACTGCACAAGTGTGTAGCTAAGATGGCAATCTAGTTCGGATCTGGTCCTGGTTCGATCCAATCCGAAGAAAAAAAATCTGAGCTGAATCCAACTTTTCCCTACCTTTTAGTATGAGCTAACTCTTATGAATAGTGTTTGGACAATTATATGCTCTAAAATATTTATTTACTTAATTTGTCCTCATTAATGTTAATTATCTCTTATTTTGAACTCTTATGAATAGTGTGCGGACATTTATACCCTTAAAATATTTGTTTACATATTTTCTCTCATTAATACTGTCAACAACTAAATTTAAATCGAAAAAGCTCCTTGGAGATGGCTAGCTATGGCGCGCATCGCACGCGTTAGCGACCCTAGTTTTAAAAATTTGACTCTGGAGTTAGAGGAGAGTCGCATTTGGATTTTCCATACTCTTACAGAGTATATTAAGTAACTTTTCTATGTTTGTGAGTTTGTATTGATGCATGTGTGTTTAGCGCAAGTTACATTGCATGTTGTTATTCTTTTTCGTAGTTGTTTATCTCATGCATTTACACAGATACATTCTAGTTACTACTAAAGTAAGGTTAACGGAATGCAAGTATTAATGTTACATTTCCAAAGCGAACAAAAACTTCGTTTCAAATTAATTGTAACATTAGTTTTGGTAATTTTTTCTCATGATCTTTTCTCCTGAGGTAGAAAACTTGCACTATTTTATCTATACTTCATATTTTCCTTGAAATTTGTGAGGAAATAGTTTGTGCTCCGTAACAATGGAAATGAAAGAGAGCCTCGAGAAGTCAAGATCTTATGCTTTGGTGCAACCTACCAAGAGAAGAACAAAAAAAAAAAGGAACTGCCGGGTTTTTTTAGCCGTTGAGACTCGGCACCCATTAGTCCATTACAACATAATTAAGCCATTAAATATTAGATAAGCAAAAAAGAATATTAGTAGATGTTTCCACAATTCCACCCGTTGTAGATTTTTAGCTTAGATTACGTTAATCTCTTATTTTATGCTAAAACAAGATTTAGGAAAAAGATGTAAAGTGTTAACATCTAGCTTTTGAGCCTTTTTCCTTTCAACTTTTATTTTTTTTTATTTTTCTTCTGTAAACATCAAGTTTTAGCCTTTTCGGCTTTCCCCTTTGCAATTGCAAAGTAACGTTCTTTTAATTTAATTTGGACCCACCAATAGTATACCCTCTTTGTTTTACTCCTATCTTATGGTTTTAGCAGAAATTTCTCTTGATATAGCATCAAAGAAGCAACGTCATCTAAAAATAGTACGGTGTAATGTTTAAGGTGTGTTTCCCACCAATGATGTCGTTTTCTAAACCAAGTCGTTGAGGAGGCTAAGTCGTTGTACTAGTCATTAATGACTTGACTCTCTTCCCCAATACCCCAATACATAAGTCTCCCTTCCCTAGTGTTTAGAATATCGATATCCTCAAACCGGCTCTTTTAATTGTACGATTATACGAGTATTCTGTTTTAATTAATAAACATACGGAATAATAAATTAATTGATGTTAGTGATGATTTTGTTTTCTTGATGGATGATAACTCGTATAATTTCATACTTCATATGTGTTGCATTTGTTATAGCTAAAGTGGATATGAGTATGATTTTAGTGGTTAATGGGCGGATATGTACAACAAAAGTCACGTCTATCAAGAATAAATGGACAAACAATTAGGTGGTGGATTCAAAATCATTAATACCTCATATATGTTCACCCTACGTGTTTACATGATCTTAGTTTATTTGTGTCCTCTAATTAATTGGGTGGTAGATTTACGGAGTATGTCTTATTAGATGGTGAGTATGACAACACAGGGGGACGTTTGCACCTATCCCACTTGTTTTTCACCTTTAAATGTTTGATTTAGTGATTTATACTCTTATGTTTAAAATTTGAAAAATATTAGTAAAGTACACAGTATAATGTAAAGGAAAGGGAATGTTATGGCATACCTTATTGTGATTGTTTACAAATATATGATTTTTTTTCCCTTTATTTACTATGTAAAATAATTCGAGTTGTATCAATTGCACTGTTTTCTATTATTGTGTTGAATCAAATGTATCACAAAGTTTCAGATTGAGTGGTAGGTAGATAATAATTTTTGATATCTTGAGGCGTCATTTCTACTATTTCTTGGCAATTAACCATTATTTGGATTGGACTAATTCAAGAACATTCTACAAGATATAAAGTGAAAAATGTCATGAGTAAAGATAGAATATGATGTTTTTGTGTTTTGCTCACTTTGTTGCAAAGATGACATGTAATTCATCAACATACAAGTTGTATCGTTGACATTTTCTCGGAGCTTACTATTTTGGCTAAGGATGAATCTATCAAAACCTTTTTTACACAATTAAATTATCTTTATCCTTCCGTTGTTACAATTTATTTCATTCATCTTCACTAATCTTAGAAAATAATGCGTCAATATATCCTAAACATTATCATATGTCAAAATAATCCCCCTATTAATAAAACACATTAACTATAATGATAATTCCTATAAAACCACAAACCAAATGTCACAATTAATAAGAAACGGATGATGTGAAAGAAGGAAACTAATAAAGCCACAACACTTTCGAGTATTGACAACATCAATTTAAGCGGTCCAACTAGGATTCTCCAAGAAGCTTCAAATAATTATAGTGGCTACACGAGATTATATTTCATAGTACTAGCCCTACAAGCAATTAACAATCAACATAATTATCAAACCCTTAATAATAAGTTTATTTTAAGGCTGCTTCCCTTTTTCTTTATATTTAGGCCCCATTTTCTTCAGCTCTTGTCTACTCTTTCACATTCCACTTTCTCTCTCCTCTTTTTCTCCCATTTTTAAATAGTACAGAAGCTATCTCATAATCAACTGTAGAAGAGCTTCTACCATTAACAATGAAGCTCTTTAATGTCTGCCTCTTTTCTTTGCTACTTTCTATTTCAAGTAAGTTTTCTCTTCATTTTTTATTTGGAATGTTTCTGTTTCAGCATTAAATTGGTTGGAATTTATGTATTTCTTTAAGCATTTGTTTCTATATATTTTTATCATAGTAATTTATAAAATGGTAAATGTGTACAGATTATGTAAGTAAGATTTTTGTTTGTCATTTTGTTCTGAATGTTGCTGGCATTATGTTTGATCTGAAATTACATTTCAATTTTTTTTTTTTTGGATTTTTCTGTGGTATTTTATTTAATTTTTATGATCTAAGACTTATGGGTTTTATGTTATAATGTGCTTCCATGTATATACTTTGGTAGAAAATTAACCAACTGGGTGTTTTTCCTTATGACTTTCATGCTCATTTTGTTTGTTTCTAAGTTTTGAACTTTTCTGGGTTTTATTTTACCTCCATTGTGTTTGGTTATAGCTAAATCTTTTCTGAGTTACTATGGTTTTGTGTTTTGGTTGCATTAACTAGTTTAATTCCCGTGCTATGCGCGATTTATATATAAAAAATACGGAGTATATAACAATGTTTGGTTTGAATCTTGTGTTGTAAAAAAAAAATCAGGATTTATAGATTTCCAATAATGAGAAAGTCAGAAAGTGTGACAGCATTTATGGATAGAAGATGATTTAATTTGCAACTATTTAGTGATAATAATTGGATATTTCATTCAATCTATCAATTAAAATCAATTTGAATTAATTTCAGGTGCTGCAACATTTTCTCCAAAGGTTGGTGTGAATTATGGTACATTAGGCAATAACTTACCAAAACCAACCAAATCAGTTGAACTTATCAAAAGCCTTAAAGCTGGGAGGGTCAAACTTTATAGCCCAGATCCAGAAATTCTTACTGCCCTTGGTGGTACGAATCTTCAAGTCTCAATCATGGTTCCGAATGAGATCATTTCGAATATTTCGACCAACCAAAAAATGGCTAATGATTGGATTAAGACCAATTTGGTTGCTTATCCTCATACCTTGATTAGGTATGTTCTTGTTGGGAATGAAATTCTTAGTTTCATGACTGAGGCTGATAAAAAGATTTGGCATGGTCTAGTCCCGGCTATGCGGAAAATCCAATACGCCCTCAAGGTGAATGGCATCCGCAAAGTCAAAGTAGGGACAACCTTGGCGATGGATGTCCTTGAATCGTCGTTCCCACCCTCAAATGGCACCTTTAGGTCTGATATTGCTGATACTGTAATGAAACCCATGTTGCAGTTTCTCAGCAATACGAAGTCATTTCTCTTTATAGACTGCTACCCGTATTTTGCTTGGTCACAGAGCTATAAAACTATCAGCCTAGATTATGCATTGTTTAATGGTGGTGTAACCTACAAAGACCCTGGCAGTGGGTTGACATATACCAATTTGCTTGATCAAATGCTTGACTCTGTTCATTTTGCGATGAAGAAGCTTGGCTATCCGGATATTAGAATCTGGATTGCTGAAACAGGTTGGCCGAATGGTGGTGATATTGACCAAATTGGAGCTAATGTCTACAATGCCGCTACTTACAACAGAAATTTGGTTCAAAAGTTGAATGCTAAACCCTTGGTTGGAACTCCTGCTATGCCTGGTGTTGTTTTGCCTACCTTCATATTTGCTTTGTTTAACGAGAACCAAAAGGGTGGTCCAGGTACTGAGCGACATTGGGGACAATTTTACCCAAATGGGTCAACTGTTTATCCAATTGACTTGACAGGGAAGACCCTTGTTTCATCTTATCCGCCTTTGCCAAAACCAGATAACAATGAGCCATATAAGGGGAAGATATGGTGTGTAGTGGCCAGCGACGCTAACATGACTCAACTAGCAGATGCAGTAACATATGCCTGTGGTCAAGGAAAAGGAACTTGTGCTGCTATCCAGCCCAAGGGAAACTGTTACAATCCGAATTCATTAGTTTCTCATGCTAGCTATGCTTTCAGCTCATATTTCTCACAAATGAAGAGTCAAGGTGGTACTTGTTATTTCAATGGGCTTGCTGTGCAGACCGCCAAGGATCCCAGTAAGTACTTTGCTTAATCTTTCGAGTACTAGTCTTTCACAGTTTTTCGTTGTTTTGTTAGTCTAACATGCTGCTGCCTTTCAGGTTCCGGTAAATGCAAGTATCCGAGTGTTACCCTTCCTTGAGGGTGGTGGTGAATCAAGTTGGAAGCAGAACAAGAATTCAGTGCCTCTATTAACGCCGAATAATCTTATAGGAGTATTAGATTAAATTAATTCTTGGGGGCAGTGATTTGGGTGCCGATATGCTTTTGATGATGATTGAACATTAGGAAATTATACAAACCAGGCTGCTCTTGGATAATTTTAGTGCACATCAAAATCACTTCCCATGTTTTGGTACCATTCTTTTCTAAGATGCCTTTTCGGCTTTTTGTATCAAGTTTTGGTGCTTGTATCTATCACAGGCACATCTTCTTGAGGAATGGCTGTAATTTTTCAATTATTAGCAATTGACTAATTGTTGATCTTAGGCATGGTTTAGTATAATAATTTTGGCACTAGTATTTTTCTTATTGTCATTATCATTCTTCATATTCTATGTTAGCAATGTGATCATTTCGTTGAATTTTCCTAGCTAGTTTTGGTTGTTGAGCGATCAATTGTTTTCTTTTGGTTGCTTGCTGAATTGTTTTGATGTCATTGGGATATTTATTTTTAGTGGTATGTAATGGAGGTAATATAAAATCAAATGCGTAGTAGTTGCATTGAGAAATTAGCAACCGACAATAGCAAGCAGCAACGTTTGCATATTTTTGTTTTGTAGTCTTTGATTACATTAGCCAAGAAAAATTCAGACTAAATTAAAACTACTTGATTTTGTTTATCTTTATATTCTCAACGTTATTTTTAATTGCAACTTTGAGATTTTCACACTTATGTATATTTTATACCTTTAACATTTCTAGTCAATTTAAGTAAAAAAAATTATAAAAGTTGATATTTTAAAATAAGTCTTGTGTAAGACGGGTGTACGTTAATTTTATTGTTAGACAGTCAGTTTGAGGGTAAGTTTAACTATTTTTATGGTAACTTCTGGGACTTGTTATTCATCGCCCGCAAATCTCTACATAAAGCCCACATTTTATAATTTTTTGACAAATTTGCCCTTTTTATAATTTTAACCGAAGATAAATTTTTCGCACTAAAAAAATGTGGAGCAGCACCGGATCGCCGAGAATCACCGGAGAATCGCCGTCGTCATCGGAAAACGAGGTTCGTAACGCATCGTAAGGACGAAATGGTGGCTGGCGCCTAGCCAAAAGGCCATGCCGTGGTTGTGGCGCCTATCCAGGACGCCGCCACCGTGGTATCGGCGCCTGGTGGAGAAGCCTCGACCATGGTAGTGGCGCGTGGCCAGGACGCCGAAGCCACGGCCAGAGCGCCTGGCCAGGACGCCGCCACCATGGCGACGGCGTCCTGACCAGGCGCTCCGGCCGTGGCTCCGGCGTCCTGACCAGGCGCCCAGGCCGTGGCTCCGGCGTCCTGGCCAGGCGCCACTAGGGGAATATATCTATTTTATTTTTTTTTTTTTTTGATTTTTTAATTTAATCCCCTTTTTTTTTTTTTTTTTTTTTTTTGTTTTTGTTTTTTTTTTATTTGTTTGTTTGTTTTTATTTTTGTTTGTAGTGCCGTGGTAGTGGCGTCTGGGCTAGGCGCCGTCACCACCATATGGGCGTCTTGCCTAGGCGCTTCCTCCGTGGTGGTGGCGTCTCGCCTTGGCGCCCCACCGTCGCCGGAGGTTTTTTTTTTAAAAAAAAAATTACAAAAATTTAAAAAATTACCTTCTGGCCGGCAAACCGCCTTCCGCCCACCGCCGGTGCCGCCACTTCCTTGCCGGGCCGCCTCGACATAGCTCTGGAAATAATTTAGAGAGAGAAAGTGGAAGTAGAGAGTAGAGAGAGAAATTGTGTTTTTTAGTTTGAGGGCAAAAGTGTCATTTCACTCTTATTTTGTGGGCTTTATGTAGGAATTTGCGGGCGATGTTTAACAGTTCACTAACTTTAACCCCTTAAAAGGTAACTTTTAATTTGTCGTTGGTTTAAATTTTCTTTTAATGTGTTCTTATAGATTCATGATTACATATTATAAAGGCTAATATGGTTAATCTAATACATTATAAGTTTTTTGTAAGATAAAATTTATTATTAGAAAATAATTTGTAGTATAAAAGTATTTAAGATAACTTTAACTCGTCTTATAATAAATTAACGTACACCCGCCATTTGGAGAATTTGTGGATATTTTAAAAGCTTAAAACGATATAGACCTAACAATATCTCTAGAGTTGGATATATTATATTATTTTTAACGTTTAATCACAAAAGACGATCAGAGTATGTATAAATTATGTAAATTTCCTAATGTGCATTATATAAAAATATAAAATAAAGGAAGTTTGTTATCATTGAGTATAAGTTCAAGCTTTACATTAATATTTATAGATAGTGGTGCACAAAAGGGAAAATTAAAATAGGGACAGTGGGAGTAATATGTATATTATACAAATTTCATTTCTAACTGATAGTTGTACTAGGAATCAATATATTTTCTAATGAAATTGAAATTTAATATACTAGTTGAATGAATTTATAAGTAAAAACCTACCTGTGAGATTTTATTGATTCGTCTAAATATGTATATTATTTGCAATATTTTTTTTTAACAATGTAGCTCAAATGTAGCATTGAAAATCATGCAATTGTATAGGATTACTCCGTATCAATTAGAAACAAACACAGTAAAAACAACAAGAACAATGACAATAACGATAATAATACATTGATAACAAATACTCTGTAAAATATAGAGTTGAAACTAAATAATTGAATGAACTAACCTATATCGAATTAAATGGGGCTAAAATTGTATTAAAATACGGTAAAGAATAGTCATTTCCCATACATAAACCTAAGCATGGGTTGGGTGATGTAGAACACATGTGTTTTGCTTGCATATTTCGTGCTCAAGCACGTTGTGTTTGAAACGGAAAAAAAAAGGGGAAATTCCTGGTTGATCTTCATGATCAACATAATTTGTCAATCATAGGGGGTGATGGTGTCTTTTCATTCATTAAGTTAAGGATAATAATGTCATTGTGCATGTAATGATGTGTTCATAGTGCCAGCTATGCACTATTGTCTTTGATGGCGTTAACGGAACATTGACGCATAGCACCTATGTGCTTAGAAAGTGTATAGCATGGCACTGGTTTTCTAGTGGTATAATTCAAAGTACAAAACGTACGTACCACTTTGATTAAATGTACCAATGTGATTTCAGTGGTACATTTTCAGAGTATTAAATGTACCACTGGCACAGTTAAGTGGAATATTCAAGTTTTCTAATGCCTGGTAAATTACGCTTTTGCCCTCCTATACACTTCGTTTGTCAATAGGTGATATGCGTTAATATGCACTCAGCGTTAACAACAAGCGTAAAACATCCGTTAAGAGCAAAGCACCAAATCCCAAAATCACTCCTTCTCTCTCCTCTTTCTCAAGTCTCAACAATGGCAAAAGTGTAGTAGCTCCCGCGATGGAGGGTGTTCAGTGACAACGACATTGAAATTAGTGCTGCGCAGTAGCTAGCTGTGACTCCGACAATGGGTAGTGATGGCGTCTCTAATTAAATCAATCATTCTCGTCCACCAACGTCGGCAAGAATTATGTCCAAGAGCTCCTTGACAAAGCTCCCAGGTCATTAATTTCAAGGTGAAATGGTCACCCCTACCCTTTGGGGTACCCTTTGTTTCTAGGGTTTTCGTTTAATTCCGCCAAAGCTGGTGGTGTTGGTGGACGGTTTAATGGGAGGGAGATGATGGTGTCAGTGAACATGATGAAGATGGTAGTGTCGGTGTTAAGCTTCAATGGAGGAAGTAGCTTGGACACCATTGTTAGCATTGATAAACGTAGTTAGGATCTAGGCCACGTGTTTGTGATGATTAAGTAGCTGACAAAGCAAAAGGATGAGTTGGCTGTTGAGTAAGCACTAGATTGACATAATATGTTGATCATGAAGATCAACTAGGCGAGCCCAAAAAAAGTTTGTGCCGTGCTATGTTGATCATTAATATCTCGGTGTGTTACATCATGCTATGAAATACTTGAGTATTATTTATATTTTTTGGTAAAGTGGTTAGAAAAAAAAAATTAAATTAGGAATGAATCGTGAGTTAGCTTGTTATGCTTGTACAGTTATGTTAGATTTTGAAAATGATGTATAGATTTTCAAATATAATTCATGGCTCACATGCTTGCCTCTCATTAGTCTCGTACCGTAAGGCTCGGGGTAAGTAAAGCAATTTTCATGTCATGTTTGATCGACCCTTGAGCTAGACGTCTAGCCCGTGGAGGAGCAAAAAATTAAATGAGAATGAATGTGACCTTTATATTATTTTGAGCTGACGATTGGCGTTGTATGCGTGTCATTAATCTTCATACTTCATTTTTTTTTCTCCCGCCTTTGGAGAGCTTTACCTTTTCGTTTCACGCTACACTCACTCTCTTTCCCCTCCATTGAAGCGTACTCTAAATTTTACATTGAAACGGCTTCTGAGCTTTATCTCCTGAAGCAGATTCTGGGCTTTCAATCCTCCATTGAAGCAACTTCTGAGGTAAGATTTTTTTTTTCCCTTCTCTTTTGATCATCGAACATCAATTTCACAACTTTTCTTTTGATCATTGAATATCTAGGGTTAGGTTTAACATTATCCTTAATTTAATTGCCAGTACAATCAATTTATGGTTCTTCAAAGGTTAATTGTTGAAATGTTGGCTTTAATTACTGAAGTTATGAAAAATTAAAATGAGCAATTTTGTTGTTAGAATTTTGCTATGTGCAATTTACTCTGATATTCTTAAGTGAGAAGTATTTTTTGTGATTCTTTGAGCCTAATTTGATGATTGAGTGAAATTTGGTTGCTAATGTGTTGCCATTTTCACGCCTAATCGAGTCCATGGCCTGAGCATTTTTGAGGTTATTGGAGCCCAAGCCGAGCTTGGGTTTTGAGGTTCGTTACGCTTTGAGCTCAAACCAAGCCTGCTATAATCCTATTGAGCTCCATCCGAGCCTATTTCTGTTTGAATTGGCAATGGCTCAAAGGTTTAGCACCCTGTTATTGAGCTCCTTTTAGAAAATTTGATGATTTACAAGGCCTCAATACCGTTAACCACTTCAATTATCCAGCCTAGTTTTCTAGGTTATAGTTTTGATCCATATGAATTAGGAAGTTACAAATTAGAATTGAAGGAGGGGGATTCAAACTTATGACCTATCGTTTACAGACCCCTTCAAGATTTGCGACTTTGTAGGCTTTAGTTTATAACCCTTATATGTTAGGATGGAAAATTATGACACTAGGCCTTTTCTCGCTAGCAAGGGTGGCTGCCCCTCCTGCCTGAATCAAGGATAGACTTGGTTTAGATTTAAGTTGGATCCTTCCCCCTTGTCCTATCCCATGGAAAGTATGGGTGGTTGCGATGTCACTTTGATCAAAGGTCGCTCGATTAGCTTGAGGACTTTAAATTTGGTTTTCTAGTCTTATTTTGTCTGATTATAGTATTTTTATTACGTAGATTTTTTTTTTTAATATTCATTATCTTTCTTCTGAATTCATGTTTGTATTTCATTGGTACAATATTTAATTTTGGAACAAGCATCATTTGAGGGATATCGAGTTACTGAAACTCTAATCAAACAAAACTGAAATGAAAAGCAAGAGGACCCTTAGACTAGGTACCCAGTAATGCTCAAGCTTATATATTTGAGGCTTTGAGCTCAAGCCTTTCAAAGCTGAGATTCGATTGCCTCAGCTACACCCCTAATCCAATGAGAGGAGATTGTTGAGGGAGGGGAGAAAGTGAAAGTTTTTCGTAGATTATTAATTGATTTTTTCCCCCCCTTTTTTTTACCCTACAGCTTTTAAGATCATTTAAAGTGTTATAGTTCCTATTTTCTTCGTTATCATTGTCATCATTTAGTGACACTTGGTGTGTGCTGTTATCATTAGTTACATGTGCTTGCAGAATGCCATGGGATATATAATGACAATCTTATATTTTTGTAACTGTAGGAAAGCTTACTTTATTGGATCCTTTATTTCTCATACACTCACCGAACATTGTTGGAGGATAATCTCTGATTCTCTGTTGTTACACTTGTAATCTTGTCAAAAGTGGCGGTGTACTTTTGGTTTAGGCAGAGATGTTGCAGTGGATGGGAGGATCAAGACGGAAGGTTACAACTGTAAGTCCACTTTTAGCTTCAAAATTTTTGGTGCTAGCTCAGATAGATTGATCATGCTTCCCTGAAGTTATTCTTGTTTATCTATAATGTAAAGCTAAACAGAGTTTTCTTCTGAGTTTTCGAGTATCTTGGTTAAAACATTATTCTGTTGATTGTGTTGAGCGATACAAAACTTCATCCTATTTGCAAAGTCAGATTCCTCATTTCATGCCTCAAGGTGTCATTTTTGTTTGATAGCGTGTCAATATATAGTCTAGCTCTGTGTTTTTGTGGTCTTTTCTGATATGGGGCTCCCTACTTTTTTGCATGTTTTTCTTGTCACTTGGAATGGAATGAGCAATGCAGTCTAGGAAGTCAACACAAAAGAGGTAGATAAACCCTCCTTCTTTTTCAATTATTGTCCTTGATGTTATGGTCTTTTGGCATCCTTCTTATTTTTAGAATTTATGATACTTTCTCTCAATGGGTCAATGCCCTGCATTCTGTTGAAGCACTAGATAATAAATATGTTTCAGATTATAATACTGTTCTGTTTAGTATCGCCAAAATGGATATCCGCTGGCCTAGTGGCATGTTACCACCAAAGTCAATGAAGAATTAGATTTTGTATCTCACAGTGAAATGGACGATGGTAGCATATCCGGATCAGCTGTATCTTGTTTACAAATTCTGATATAACGAGTAATTTTGTACTTTTTCATTTGTTGTTGAGTAAAGAGTTGGTATGAAATGAGTGCTAAAACATGCAGATTCTCAGCATTTGTCTATGAATTGCTCTGACTTTGCAGGCAAAAACAATACTTTGAACAAAGGAAAAGACAGCAGCAAGAGACTGCATTTATCGAGAATAATGTTGATGGTTTAGACACATTTGACCATCAAAAGAGAAACCGGTCACTGGATATTTTGAGTCTTCACAATGTTTCAAAAGTTACAGAAGAATGCAAGCCCTTATATGGTACTGGTGAGCAACATCTACTTTTTTATTTTATTTTATTTATTTATTTATTTATTTATTTATTTTTATTATAGTTGTTATAGTGTCAACTCTGTTTAGTTGATGAACTTGATAGCTTGTCAGTCAAAGTCATTTTTGTTCAATATTACTAACTGGTTATCAAAAGTTCGAGGAAAGACCTATAAGGCGTTATATAATACTTTAGCTCCTAGCCTCCTTGATGTTAGCATGTGTAAACAAAATTAGCACATATTGCAGATTGCAACTCCCTCAGTTTCAAAATAGAGAGCATCTTTATTAGCCTATTTTCAATTTCAAATTACAAGTTATTCTACTTTATTAATCTAACATTAATTATCATGTCATAGTATCAATGTGAGATCGTAGTTATTTTTATTTTTATCAACTATTACAAATCCATTATATATGTAAGTTTCCATTAGAACTGCATTATGACTAAATTTAGTTGAATTCTTGACATTTGTAATATTGATTAAAATGCCTTGTATTTGGAAATTGAGAGAATATTAATCAACATATCTTTTAGTTGCAAGTGTGCCTCCCATGTTATTCTAAATAATACGTTCTTTTCTCTTTGACTAATATTTCTATACTATGTTTTGTGACAATTTAAATCCTAGTGTTAAGTGTGTGTGATTCCCTTTGTCTTCAAATGAATGCCCTGCTAGGCTTAGATACATTTTATTTGGCTTGCTTCATTAGTTCCATAACTTTTATAACATGTAAGGAGTGCATGGAATGACGGAAGTCAATAAGCTCATGTGATGATGTGAGAGATAGAAATTAAAAAAGGGAAACTTTGCAAAAATATATTGAACTTCCATAGAAGGAAAAGGTTGCAATATTTATGGAGCGGAAGAAGTACTTTTAAGTAGAGGAGTGTAGCCTTTTCAATATATATTGTACTCCTTATAAGATATATATATTTTCTTTTTTCTTTTTCCTTTTGGGGGTCCAAATGAGCCATAAGCTCTCAATCTTTGCCACTAGGGCAAGACCTCATTGTTAGTATATAATTTAAAATTAGTCTTTGTTTGGTTCATCTGATCAATCTGAAACTATTTTATTTTATCTGTAACTTTTTTTATTTCATCTAAATGTATTTATTCTGGAATAGAATATAATAAGATGAAATAACACGAAACATACAGTCCCTAATGGTTCTATATTCTTCACTGTGCGTTGTGTACAATTTTGTAGATTCTTCTTTTTAATTCTTGTATGAACAAATGCACCATGCTTGAGCTTTTCCTTAATATTTGTCTTATGATGATGTGGCAGAGAAATTTTCAAGTATTACCAAAAAAGCTGCTTGTGAAAGCTTTGCTGAAGATGTGTATTCAAGTAAGTAGATACATGCTGAACTGGTCTTAAATTTATGTCTTAATGTTTTCAGCATCATGTCATATAATTCCTCAATCGCAATTTTATATGATCAGGTTTCATTGGGAAGTCTGGAGGCCATGATTTTCCAGCAAGCTATCATACTTCCATGAGCTCTCCAATGCTGAAGTCTGGTGAACTCACTGCTACGGCGTGCACACTGCCTACTGGAACAAGTACGTACTCATTACATTTTGCAACCCGGGTCCATAAAAGTTATAGTCATTGAAACTAAAAGAGTAAGATAATATGCTGAACCAGGGGTTCCCTCATCAAATCAAATGGGAAGAGTGTCCTCAAAAAGGTCAGTAGTTCATATCTACAAATAATTCACCAAGAAAGTGTTCAGGTGTCTACGCATCTTGATTATTGTATTTTGCAAATAATAACCTTTTTCTATCTTACCTGACATTTTTTTTACTATTGTTTTGTTCATTAATTTGTGATATTCCTCAATTCTCATGGGGCTTTTTGATTGACAAGAGTAACTTTGATTTATTGAAATGATTTTGTTGGCGATTCCAGCACTAGGGAAACCAGCACTTCAAGAGTCCAAAATGTTGAGTCAGAATATGTGAAAAGTGCCTCATCGATTCGTAAGTTATTGAACAAATTAAGTTGAAATATTTCATGTCATTTTTTTTAAGTCTTAATGGCCTATTTGATAGGTAGTCATGGTGATGAATGTGCATGTAACTTGGCAAGGAAAGTCTCATGGTAATGGATCTCCATCCCGAATAATGTGTTTTCCTTCATAAATTTTCATTACCGCTCAATAGCACCTCTACAAGTGGTAATGGATGGCAATAAAATTTATGAAGAAAAAGAGATATTTGTGGGTGAAAGCAAGCATTACCATGGACATTCTCTTTTCTTACAAAATTACATTATAAATTTATTACCATGATCACCATTATTACTGCCTATCAAATGGAGTTAAAGGTTCTTTTTTCTAAGAAGACACTGTTTCTCATATAGATTCATTGCTGTTGTTTACTCAATATATCTAACTACCCTGTCCTTCGTTGTTTTCAACATACTAGAACCATCCATTTTTGATATAATTGGCGATGATGGAGCTGTTGGCATTTCAGAAGGAGAATCTGCACAGGAAACTCATGTTGCTTTCTCCATTGAAGGTGCTGTAGTTTGACGCTGCAATAGTCTTCTGGTCTGACATGTCAATTTGTTTTCTGGTTTAGTCACTTCTGAAAGGAGTTTGAATATTATTGTCTGAAAAGATAATGAGGATGACTGTATGAGTGTCACAAATAGTTTATAGATAAGAGTTTAAAAAGCTTTGTTAGAAGAATAAGTAGTTTTTATTTTTGTTGGTTCTTCATCATTAACAGGTCCACATATTGTTTGTATCTAATGCTCTCTAGTAGCTGCTTTTCTAATTCAGGTTTAGGTAAAGTGGGAACAGAAACACCTTTGCAGTCGCCACAACGTCCTGGAAGGTATTAGTTTGTTTTATATAAATTTTTTGGTTTGTTGGGGGTGTCTGGCAAAGTACCTATAAGAATTAGGAATATAGCAATCATAGAAGTTTCTTGGAGGAGTAATAAGGCATTCATAGAGGAATCTTGGAGAAGTAATATGAATTGTATTGCTCAAGTTATCAAGTCTAGTATTGGTTTCTAGAATAGCTTGAGGTTCATAGTTGTGAGTTTGTTAATCTCATTTCTGTATTACCTGTCCACTTAACTAATACCATTTAACATGTTACTTAAAACACCCATGCACGATTACTAGTTAGTTTCAAATACCAGCACAATGTTAATCTGTGATCATTAAATACCAATGTGATTAGTGATAAAAGTTTTATCTATGTGCATATCTGGGTCAAATATTTTAGTAGGAAGAGAGTATCATTTTATAGTTGTTAATGATGGTATTATTATGGGCTGTTGTGTGTTTTGTTTGCCTTTCTGTATCACTTAAAGCTTATGTTATATCCAATCTACTGCCTCTTGCCACCTTTTTTTGCAACTGAGTGAAATGAGTGAAGTGACAATCCATATAGCCAGGGTAGCTGCATTTGTTACCACTATACTTATCTTTTCAGTCTTATGTAGTTAACTAGTTATGCATATGAAATTAATTTTACCTGATCTCTATTTCTGGACTATCATTGATGAACTATCACTGCATATAATTTTTTTGATGAATACAGTAAAGTGAATGATGAACTGACCACATTTACCAAGGCTGCTAAAAATATCTACTCATGCAAAAACATCAATACGGTGCTGGATAACCTTGATATGGAAGTGGTGAGAACATCACTATGCACTATTTTCCTTAGTCCTCATTAGACTGTTGCTAGAGTTCATAATTGTTTGTTGTTTTTTATGATTATTTAGAAATGCCCTTGGTTATTGAAGGCAGGGAGTCACTGCTGTCACATTCTTGATAATGTAAATGCTGGAATGCTTAATGCAGGATGTTGAAAAACCATCTTGTCACAATCGCTTATTTGGAGATGAACTTTATCCAATTGACAGTATTGAGCATGAACTACGGACATTCAAAAATGGCATGCAACTTGATGGCAGGCAATGCGAGATAAACTCCTTCTATGACGAAGATAGACATGATATTTTCTGGAATGGTATGTCATACAAATATCATTTGTTTTCTTTCTGAAACATTCAAGTCTAATGTTTATGTGCATCTTTTTTCCAATCTAGTTTTGTCATGCAAAGAGGCGTGAAGTAATGTTCTATGAAAATTTGACTTTCCAGAATCCATTGTACTAATACAGAGGTTAAAATCAGTTTTTAAAATCCAAACTATTCTTCTATCCTTTTTCTGAAAGTTTCAATGTTCAATACAGGTTTTGACCCCCCCTCCTCCCACCCCTAGAAACTGTGTATCTGGGGGTATTCCTTAATTAAACATTACAAGGTTGTAGAGAGGTTCATTTTTTAATTTGTATATTTTATGCTTGTTAGTGCTATGGCTGAATACACTACTCTGTGCTCATGCTCAATTTCTTACAAATGTGTTCAATTAATATCCTTTGTTAGTTTAATTTCATATATTGTGAACTTTTGAAGATGAACCTGCCTGATATTTTCTTTTTCTCCCCCCCCCCCCTGTTTTTTTCTTTTCCTGTTACCAGATAGCTCTCCCTGCTTGGACGACTATAATAAGATTGATGAGATATGTGGAGTGAACTGGAAGAATTATGATACTAGTCATGCTACTAATAACACTTTTACCTGGAGAAATGATTTATCAGATATGAAGTTTGAAAGGTGTTATTCACAATCACCTCCAAGGTACCTTTGTGTCTGACGTGTCATTGCTTTAGCTCTTTTGATGGACATACTTTCTTTACTCATTGTGGTAATTTTATGCAGGTTTCAGGAGAAGATACCTGATAGATCTGACTTTTTAGGTGCTGTTAACTTGTGATTAGTTTGCTCTACATTTAGATGAAGCAGCTTCATTGAGCAGTGCTTATTGACGACCACTTCTTGTTTGTTTTTTACTCATCATAGATGGAGATTGCTGTTTTCCTGCATCTGATGAACCCAGGTATGTTTTATAGTTCTGGATTGTGACAATGAAAAAAAGGAAAAAATAGCACGGTCAGGAGATTATCGTGCTTAATCATTTTGTTTGGATTTGTGTTATAGATACTCTTCGTTTGTGTGCAATTATCATCCACAAGGCCGCTTTTCTCCGTTGAAGAAATTGAAAGATACGAGGGACTGCCTGACCTCGTTTAGGTGGGAGTTATTTTCTAAAATTTGATGATTACTTTTTTTGCATGACCTCGTATAGCTGATGGTACTATGCTTTGTCCTTCCTGTTTTATGATCATGGTGCAGTGGAGAATCTTGCTCTTCCACTGCAGGTATTACCCTCAAGATAAATGGTTTGCATTTCTTACCTGCACTCTATTAAAAGAATTTTCATTTCGTTTGAATTTTAAAGGTGAACGTTTAAAGTACTTGCTTCAGCTTAGCCGTCTTTCTCCCAATTGTGGGATATCCTAAAATCATGTCTATTTTCTTTTGTATTGCTTTTGCTTTTCAGTAAATTCTAGACTGCTTTCCAGCAAGATTTTCATTTTTTCCTTTAAAAAAAATTAAGAATGGAAGGTTTTTAGTGACACAATAACACCATTCTCCCTCAATTTGGAATAGTTTAAAATGAGATTTGATTGATCAGTTTTCCTGATTTTTTTTGACAATTGATTGTTCTGAAAAAAAAAAACTTTGGCTATCTAAACTTGAGATGTATATTGGGTGTTATTTTCATAATGCAGATAAATTTTACTCTTCATATACTGTACTGTTAAAGTACTTGCATTCTTTCTAAAAATGTCAGTGGGAGGTGAGAGCACTGCTGATATGCCATCTGCAAGACACGTAAGAAGATATGGAAAGGAATTAAAGGATCTGGACATGCCATGTAAGTCAAACAATTTTGATGAAGATATTTGGAACATTATGCCCACTACAATGAGAGAAGGAAAGGAATGCCACTCGTCAAGGAAACAAATGAGATCAGGTCTCTCGCACTTGAAGTCTGCCTTATTTTCACGGAGTCCTGTCAATGAACGTGAAGATAATCTCCTGTTTGAAGAAGAGTTCCCATTGCCCAAAATGAAAACAAATCCCAGGTCTTCCTTCGGATCATTTGAGAAAAGCCAACATCGGAGTGGAGATTCAGTCAATCTTGATGGAGTTGAATTTCATAGATCTAAATGTTATTTGGATCGTTCTGCAAAAGATAATCCTGAAAAATTTTCATCAGAAAAAGCTTTCCACCAACCATTACGTTCAAGGCAATCCTATGGTACATCTTTCATCTCGAAAGCTGATTATGGGGAAAGCTCGCTTGGTGAGCAAGACTTTAAAGTACATGTTCAGTCTTCAAATTCTTCTGAAGTTTTTGGAGACATTGAATCTGCATTTCCAGCTCCAGAGTTATCAGTGCAGGAAAGTGTGACTGAGGAAAGGAGGGACAGGCTTCAGAGCCAGACACCATGGCATGAAAACCTAGACCCAGTTTCCATGGGAGACAGAAATATGACACCAGAAAGCAGGTTGCCTATTCAAGAAACTACTTTAAAGGACTATAATGGGTCTCAGGATACGTCAAATAATGATTTCTCTCAAGAAGTAATCGCTGATGCAGATAATGTGCAGAGCTCTCCCAGGACTCCCACTAAAGAGTCAGTTGAGATGCTGTTATTCAATTTCTTTCTCTAGTGCCTATTTCTTTTAATTTGACTATAATTAGACTTGTTAAATCTAACACTGAACTCTGATCTAACCGTTTCTGTGTGCTATCAGATCGCTAGGCAGCGTTCCAGTTTTGTGTCAACAGGAAGTCAAAGGTAAGGATGTCCTTTTATTCTTCAGATTTCAAGAACTGGTAGTTCTTTCATGTCTGATACTTTTATTGGCTGTTTTACGGGCAAAGCTGTGGATGATGACAGTCTAAATGGAGCTAAAACAAAGACCAAGATGATTGATCCATGTTTCCAACTCATGACAGTTGAAAGGTGTGTCTTAAAACTTTTCAGTATGCCAAAGAAACAAACTGTTGTTTGGAATGCCATGAGGATGTTCTAATGTGTGTACATCGTATATCATTTTTTTTTTCTTTGACTAAGGTGCATGTACATGATAAATATCTAGAGTCCTTTCTTCCCTGTCAGATATGTTGATAAGTAGTACGACTGTACGAGTACTTCTATGATAATAACAATGTGACATTGCTCTTTGTGCGAATGTATTGATTCCGATGAGTGCGAAATTAAATGCTTTGTCTTCAGATTCCTGGCATATAGTTTTGCTCAGCAAAACAATCTTGATATAGATTTGGGGATATCATAGTTGAGTCTTGCCAAAGATGGCAAAGATGGAACCCAGCTTTGAGCCTTTGATGCATACAATGATACAATTGACTGTTTAAGTTAAACTGAAAGGGTTATATGATTAGATACTGAAGTACTAGTAAAATAAATTCTTAGAATATGTTCTTTAACTTATTTCATAAGGTTTTTTTTTTTTTTTTTTTTTTTTTTTTTTTTTTTTTTTGACAAAGTTATTTTCACAAGTTTGATTACTCGTTCTTGTTGGAATAAGACCAAATCTAGATAAAAAATTTAGATTACTTGAATTAAATTAATCTATTATTCACTAACTATTTTAAATTATATACTGCACTTGAAGAGGTTGGAGAATATCTTAATTTTTTTTAAGGGTAAAATAGGAAAATAAATATATGGATAATGAACTCATAAATAGAAAGCCTGGATTAGTTGTGTTTTTCATACAGCTGCAATTAAGCAGATAGTTTCGAATGTGCCTTAATCCTATAATAGCAAACTGTTCTAAACTTCTAATTATGGACCATCAACAATGTTAGTGGATTTAAACCAAACAGAACACTCTGTATTTATCCCTTAAATTTAATCTTAATTTTAGGCCACCATTCCATAAGAAACAGAGTTTGTTTATAAATAGGATAAACCATTATATTTTCAAAGAGAAGTTTACATATATATAGATCAAACATTCAAACTCGAAAAAATTCATTAGCTTATCAAATAATTTTTTAAAACAAAATGAAGCCAACGTTAGTTCTGTTCATGGGTTTGATTATCGGCATGGTGCTGATAACAAACAACCAATTGGTTGCAAATGCACAATCACAGATGTTCATGAGCAATGAAGAATGCGACAGACCCGATCCTCCTTCACACTGCCTTGCTAACCCACAGCACAATTATGTTGATGAGCCTGCTATCGAACATCGTCGTAGTGAAACTTGAATGTGGTTAAGCATAATCCAGTTGATAACCTAAAGTTGCAACTGTATTGCTATATTATTGTACGGAGTATGCATGTATATTTTTCCGATAGCAGTTGTACAAAAATAAACTTGCTACCGGATTTGGAGCTATGCAAATCTTTCTATTCTGTTACCCTTCTTGTTTGAGGAAATCCTCAACCTAGGATATAAATTAAAGATGTTAATTTGAATTTTGTTTCTCATTAGTGTTTATCAAGAAACAATTTATAGAAAACAACTTTATCCTAAGAAATGTACGTTGTATTCCAGAAAGTTAGCTACACAATGGGTTTAGTTGGCCATATATCAGTATGCAAATAGCCTTATAATACATAAATACCAACAAAGTGTTAGCTCATTTGGTAGATTTATTACCTTAGATAGTTAGATCCTAAACATATGGGTATTACTTGGGTAAGTTGGATTAGGAATTCTCTTACCCTCCTCTCTACTTTCAAGCGCTTGGCCCGATGAGGATTGAGGTCTGGTTAGGATCCTCCTTGTCTTAAAAAAAAAAAAAAATGGTCAATTAGTCTCACATATTGGATCTTTCTACAATGTTGATTTTATTGGTATGTAATTAAATTTAAACTATTTATTAACTCTAGGAGCTAAGAATATATATATATATATGTTAAAAAAAAGGTATGCCTTTAAGGGTGAGTTTTTTCAAACTCTTTCATGAAGATAACTAAAGTTAGGTTATGAATAGTTTAAAAGTCAAAAACTCAAAACAAGATTATGTATTTTTATCATTTGCGGTATTTGGTCAGTAAAGATAAGAATGTAGAAATTTGATCCAAAGCATGCAGGCAGCAAGCCTACGTATGAAAATATAAAATACTCCGTAATGAACACAAATAGTATGTAACCTTATAGGTGTGACACTGTGACCGTGTGATTGTTTTATTTATAGATATATTAACCTGTAATGTACTTCGTATATATTACAACAAAATAAACAATTAAATTAAACTAGGATTTTTTTGCAACAAAAAAAAAAAAAAAAAAAAAAAAAAAAAAAAAAAAAAACGAGGATTTTGCCTTGAGAGTAGTCTCAGACTCGTTTTACAATATTAACAATAGTAGTAGTAGTAGGGCAACGTGAGCCAATTAATAATTAGTAGCATGCTTCTACTACTAATAGGGTTTTTTTTTGCATGTACTACTAATAGGGTTTTTTTTGCATGTATCAAACACCGGTAGGGTACAAACGTAGCAGGGGCAACACCAGTCCAAAACACTACAAGAAGACCCTTCTTCCCCAGGGCACCAAACACATTGTTTATCCCTACATCTGCTCACGCCTTTGCAACATTGGCTATCTATCTGGCACGGATGGTTGCAATCACCAATTCAAAGTCATGGCAATTAGTTGTAGGATTGATCCCAAAATCATTTAGAATCGGGAGGGAACCTTTAACCACTTAAGATATCCCTCACTTTCATGTTTATACTTTTTGTGTAACGTTATATATTTCACATGTGTGTGATTTTATACAAGTTTTGTTTAATTTGAAGGACCGGAGATTGTTAATTATTAATTAAATGAGGGTGGATTACCACTTAATAGTTGCCAAGGCAACTCTTGGCAACTATGTAGATAGAAATGCTATAGCATACGTACACATTACGAAATTAAAGTAGTTTGGACAGTTGGACTATACAAGTTTTGGTAAATGGTAAACAGTACTCCCTCCGTTTTTAACTCTATGAACTTTAAGCATCCTTGTCCTACGGCTACTAGGACTTTCTTTTGGAAAATGCTGCTCTAAACATTACCTTTTTTTTCTTTTTTTTTTTAAATTAATTAATTTATTTTATTTATTTTCTTATAGGCTAGAGATGAGATTGCACGGAGTTTTAGATAATTTAATAAAAAAAGATGTAATGGGTAGATAATGTTATTATTTTATTGAAAAGTAAAGTGGTATGAAAGGGAGTAGGGATCAGTATTGAGGAGTAAGAAATGATAAAGTAAGGAAGAGTTAGGACATTAGTGGGTAAAGATATATTATTAAATTGTAAGAGTTTTCCAAAAATGGAACTCTAGCTTATACATACATATATATATATATATATATATATATATATATATATATATATATATATATATATATATATATATATATATATATATATATATATATATATATATAAAAGCTAGGATTTTATTAGGAAGTACCTTGTACGTAGCATAATATAACATGTAATACAATTATACTATAGTAATTCACATATCACAAATTCTTGAATAAGACGAACTTTTATTAATTTATTGTAAGACGGGTTAAAGTTATCTTTAAAATATTTAAAGCTACCTTTTTATACTACAAAAGTAACCATTTTTATAACAAAATTTTACCCTTAAAAAATATTTATAATGTATTGTATTAGTTGTATTAGCTTTCAAATCATGTATTTATTAGAATTTACACATTAAAATACAATTATAAAACTTAAAAGTTACCCTTAACGGGATTAATGTTACCCTTAAATTGACTGTCTTACAATATAATTATCGTAAGCCCATCATACACAAGGCTTATTGTTCACATATTACTTTCCTTTATTTTTTATAATGCAACAATTTAACGTACTTTTACGCGATTCATATGATAACCTTAATTGATTTTTATTTTAACTTCTAAATAAATAAATAAAATTAAATTCATTTTATTATGTACTCTATATTATTATATTCTTGTACTAGTCACTAACTCACTATATGTATATATATGCACAATATCAACCTATATAATACCTCTAGATATGCATATTATTATCAAATTCATTCATCTTTGGTATAATACGATATTATGTTATTTGAATATATTCGATATGTAGTATTATCTTTTGCAATCACTTATTATATTATTTGATTCTGGTGAATCATAGAGATTGTATTAGATTATTATTCACATATTTTTATTGATTTATTGATATTTGATATATTATATTTTATAATCACTTACTATATTGTTTGATATTATAATTTATAATCACTAATTATATTATTTGATTCTTGTGAATCATGGAGATTGTATTATACCAAAGATGATAGGATTTGATAATAATATTGATATTAAGAGATATTCTCTTGATACCTCTAATATTGTGTCTCTAATATTATGATATCTAATACGAGTAACATACAACTGCGGCTTTACCCACATATTAAAGTTTATTATGTCTTTACAAATGTCTTGATTTAGAAAAAAGAGGGAGGAATGTGGGGTTTATTTCTCTAAATTTTATGCTATTTTTTATCATAAAGGTTGTCAACTTTAAAAATTGACGGATTATTATCTTTCTTATCCAGTTATCCTATCTAATATGTCGAGTTTAGAATCATTCATTTTGCACAATAAATTAAAAATAGAAATTCACCTAATGTTTGACCATCTAAAACGTTGGTGGATTAAAAACAGCCAATTTATACCTCTTATTACAACCTTTCATTGCACTAATATATAAATCTTATAAATAATGATTGATAATGGTTTCATTATCTTCAAAAGATTAAGCTGAAAAAATTCAAACTTATTATTTGAATCTCACTCTTTTATTTCATTACCACAAAAAGAAAATGAAGCCAATATTCGCCATGTATTTATGTTTAATTATTAGCACGGTGATAATAACAAATAGCCAATCTATTCCAAATTCAAAGTTAGAGACTAATAAAGTAAACTACATTAATATGGATCCATGCAAAAGAGCCAATCCACCTGTGGAGTGCCAGGCTAACCCAAAGGGCAAGCTGACTGATAGCCAGGCTAACCCTTATACTCGCGGTTGCTTAAAAGCTACTAGGTGCGCTAGGGATGACTGATTGTTCAAGCTAGCTATTAGCTTGCTATTGAAGGTCCTAACTAGCTTAGGCTTCATGTAATAAAATCATTGATATATATGATGAAATGTTGTATGTATTTTGAAATAAAGGGATTTTAATTGGAAATTTTCACTTTTGCTACCAGCAAAACACATGTATTTCACTTTTGCTACCGGAGAAAATTTTATTTTTATTTTACTACCATACAAAAACAAGTTTGTTAAAAATTGCTACCACTTAACACTTTTAGTTACTATTTCCGTTAGTGAGATCTAACAACCCTCATTGCCGCCTCTCCCTCCTCAGACCCCCTCACTGCCTCCCCGTCAGCCACCTCGACCCACCATAAGAAAAAATTAAAAAATAAAATAAAAACACCCAGCCACCATTATTGCCTAGCAACCAACCTCTCCCCGCCAGCGACCGGAGCCCAAAGTGTCGCTCGGCGCCGGCGACCCCACTCCCCCTCCCTTTCCTCCACCGTACCATCCCTTACTCCTCTCAATTACCCACAACAGCTCATCCCACCGCACCACCATTACTCACCTTCAACCTCTCGCAACACCACAAAAAGTCCAAAATGCGCTGAAACTGCTGCTGCTCTTCCCTCCGAACAAGTCGCCCCACTCCCCAGCACCAAAAATCGACACCTCTAACCCTAAACCACCAGCCCGTAACCACCCTTAATGGGTTTTAGGGTTTCGCTTATGGTGTTTTCGGGTGGTGGTTTTGTAACACTCCAATAATTCTCTCTTTAAAACCTGTAAATACCCTTAACAATCCACAAGAGAATTACTGACGTGCTACCGCCACGTGTTCAAACGT